ATAATAATAATAATATCTAAATCTACAACTGATTCAGAGCCAAACTGTGAAAATAAAACCTGTACACCACACAAGTGTCGGGACAGATCAAATAAAACCCTGCTACTGGAAGTCACCCCGTGTGCTTTACTCACACACGCAAGCTTTAACCCCGCACATATCCCGGTTTGGATGAACTAATTTGAGACCTTACACACTCTTCCGAGACCCAGAAGACAAAAGCCGACCCCCGAGGTTTGCTTTATCTACTCTTAGACTAGATGAATTTGTTACATCTGTTAAGTATGAAGCATTATTGCCATTATGGAGAAATAGTGGGGAAGGAGAACTTTTTCTCCCTTGTGTTTGTTCAGGGTAAAAGAAAAGCCTATTCCAGCAGATCACTCAACAGCAGCCCGATGGCTGCGATCAGGAACGGGATCTATAAGCTAAAAGAAGAAATAGGCCCAGATGTGACGTTATTTAACCCTCCAAACACCATCTGTACCAGGCACACTTGTTTCTTTCAGAAGAAGGAAACTTCTGGTTACAAAGACTGCAGCTTTTAGGTTTGAGAGGTTCGGATAAGTACTGAAAGCTTCTGATTTCATTGCGAGAATAAGTTAATGAGAAAAGGAATTGAAAAATAATAAAACTAGGCTGAGGTAGAAAAGTTCTTTCTTAAAACAGTTAAAAAAAAAAAAAAGGATAGGGAAAAAAAGCACCAAAAAAGTCAGGCTGTAACATCTCCTGCTTCCGTTACACTTCAAAACAAAATGAGGGATTTTGTTTTAATAACAACTTTTTACTAACCTCCACACACATCCTCTAGAACTCGCCAAGTCCCCCTGCCCCCCTCCATAAAAGTTGAAAGATCAAATTTATTCTCTTTGTAGGCAGGTGAACATTCACACACCCAGACATAGCCACATATATATTTTATATACCTAAATATAAAAAATACATTTTACAGGCACTTCAGCTTGCTCCCTGGCTGCACACACAAGCCCAAAAAATACACGTTCTAACGTGGTACTTATAATGGACTTGAGTTGAGGCAACGAGAACCGAAGAGCATTCTAATGAGGTTCCTGTGTGCAGAACCATAATATATACATGACTCACTGCCCGGCGAGCTGATCAGCACAGCGAACCTTCCCTCCAATGGCAACAGCCCAGACGGACCAGGCTCAGCTCCTCGGAACAAGTCCTCAGTCACTCTCTGCCCCATTGTATCCTTATCGAATTTAATAGAGATTAGCTCTCCTGAAGACTTGGACACATGTCCCTGCAGCTTCTGAGAAAGCACTGCAGACCACTTACAGTGCCTCCGATGGTAATAAAATACGAAGCTACCAAACAGAATGAATTCTTGATTGCATTTAATGTATTTTTCAAGTAATTCCTGAAAAAGCCTGTTTGATACTGACAGAACTACTGCCATTTCAACTCCTTTAAATGATACAGATTTTTTTCCATCAAGAGAAACTCTATTTCTCAGTCCAAATCCTTTCGGATTCTGAATCACATAAAAAAGAAGTTATTCTGTATTTAACAGCTCTTGCAGCAAATACAGACCACCCTACAGCTGCAGTGGATACACCTCAGCTCCGGTGAAGTCAAGAGCAAAAATCCCATTTACTTTGAAGGCAGAAGAAAGAGAGGAATTCCATCCCACCTTTGACTGCAAGCGAGAGGAACCAGCTCCTTCTGGACACGAACTCATGCGCGGCCCCTGCCACGGCAGGGCACAGCCAGGCAGCACTGCCGAGTGAAAACCAGAGTAAAAGCTACCTTCGAGTATGGTTTGGTTTTATACTTTTCTGAAGGAAAGCGAGAAAGACAAAATACGAGTATTTATAATATTCTGTGCTCAGATGTGTGGAGTATTTTATAATTTGAAAGCACAGTAGAAATACCGATCTGGATCACTCCTGGTAGCAGACTTGTTTGCTTTTCATCGCTGTTCCAAAGGCAAGGATACGAAGGCACCGAGATGTTTAGGTGAGAATTGTCCAAACTGATCAATGTTTTTGAGCCTCCAAGAGTACTGGGCTCTGACACTCAGCAGGCATTTACTCCTGCTGCTTTTCAAAAGACAAATAATAATTTCCTAGAAAAAACACGTTCTCTTTTTTTACTTGCTTTCCATGAAATAACATCTGTCCTCAAGCCCAGAATCGATAATATCCTGTCCCACATCAGCAACAAATTTAAAGTGCAATTTCTGGATGAACACAACTGTTGAAAAGCCAGAGCTACCCGCCTGTAAGAAATGGCAAGCATTTATACACAGAAGAGCTACTTAAAATAACTTCTGCATTAACAAAAACTAAACTTTTATGTATTTGTCGAACAAGTTAAGAGGCATGTTGCAGACATTTAAAATATAGGCAGTGTAGGCTGATTTCGGTGAAAAAGTGTGCAGTGGTGGGAAAGAGCTCTGAACTGAGCTGTGCCGCAGATAAGCCACGGATCTGGCTTTCTGTGAAATACAGGGCGTGTGGGAAAACTGAACACCTTTCAAGAGCATGTTTACCGAGACCACCACAGCCTGTAACAGTCATCTGCAGGAAACAAGAAGGCTCATACACGATAAACCAGAAAGAACGAGCAGGCAAAACAGCAACAAGAGAAAAAAAAAAAGCGTGCTGCATCATGCTTGACACATTCCTGACTTCCATTCAAAATGAGGGTTCTTGGAGGATTTAATTTGCCAGAATGCAGAAACGTCTGAGACATCAATTGCAAATGACCAAATCCTGTGAATTAGCAACTTGAAGGCAGACCCAAACCTTGCCTGTCAACCCAGTGAGCTTCGGTTTTGGCTCCAAATAAATACAGGTAATAAAAAACTCCATGTTACACATCAGCAAATACATTTTCCTCATTTCTTAAGAGAAGTTTTGTTTCATTTGTCATCTCCAACAGCATTTTAGTACAGAAAAGCCAAGAAAAGAAACACTGTGGGGAAAAAACCCAAAGCTTTTGCAGCCAGAAACCTTTGCTGTCTGTTCCAAAATATTCACTGAGAGTTAAAAGCAATTGCTTTTTGGGGACAACAGGTTAAAGACTGGACAATTGTGATGTAAGGCAGTTTTAGAATTATTTGCCCTGCCTGACATCACGAATATACCAACCCTCGTATTGTAGAGATAGAAGCTAACAGAGGAACACTTGTTATGTTTAACTGGTAAATGAAAATCTGAGTCATTTCGAACCAGCAGAATAACTCACCTTCCTTCCTGGTCTGTGCAACTTGAAGCGATCATCTTTCATCAGGCTGGATAATACCTTCTCCATCTTTATCTCTGAAACACTGAAGCAACAAAGACAAAAAAAATTACAATTTCTCCTACTTTTCAAATGTGTGTAACAAGCCACAGGCTGGTAACAGCAGAAAGATTGAGATTTACACGCTCAACTTAAGAATTTATCCCTGGAAAACAGGAGGTCTTACCCCAGACACTCACTCAACAACACTTAAAGCGTAACTACTATAAAATCTAGACTCCAGTTAAACTGGTGCTTTCGGTGGAAAAGAGACACAATTTTACCCACAGTCTTGTTGCCAAGTCACCAACACACACTCCAATCCTAACAGCGGACTGAAATAACTGAGCATGGATTTTCAATTCACTAGAAGTCTCCGTGGCTCTCAGATTAAAGAAAACAGGCCTTTAATTATATTTTATGTGTTTTCGCAAATTTGCTTTCCTTGTATTAAAAAGCACCAAGACAAATGGGAACCATTTAGTTACATTTTCCACTAAAAAACACTTAAAAAGAGACTGAGCCACACACCAATGGGCTGGAAAGACGTGCTCCGCTTATTTTGCTACTTCTCCTACATCCTGTCTCTCCCAGTTTACCTTCCAGATTCTTTGGAATCAGAGCTATTGCTCAGCCCCCACTGACAGGAACAAAGCACTTCGATGTTTGCACACCTTCATTTCTACTCCTGTTAGCAACTACGTTCTCAAAACTAAAGAGTTAAAACCAAAGCCGTGTAAGGACACGGCTCCTTCCTCCCACAGTGGCTCAAGCTCAGAGGGTAACAACAAGATCTCATGGAACTTCTATCAAGTCAACTCTCCCACAGCTTCCCTCCTTCTGGTCACATCACTGCTCTTTCCCACAACATCTTACATCATTCACGTTCTTGCTGCATCACTTGAGTCAAAGCTCAGATACGTTTCCCGATGGACACGTTGACCCTCCAATCCATTTCAAGTTTCAAAAGCCCCCCCTGACACCAAACACACAGTCCAATTTCCTTCCCAATTCTCACAACTCACCTTCCCTCTCATTTGAAGTGCAAAGTGAAAGCCCAGCCCACTAGGGACCCCGTAGCATTTTTTTTTAAATACAGGAGACTCAGTCAGCTGTCCTAGCCAGGCTTCACACTGGGCATTTATTTTCATTCTGTCGACTCATATTCCTTCTGTAGATTCAACCAGATGATTTATTCTCCAGTCCTGCTTGCAAGACACTGCTGGGTATTGTTATGGCCCAGATACTGGAACTGCTTACAAACCTGCTTCATTGTCAACTGAGTGGTCCTACTTAGGAGATGAATTTACAAGAGACTAGAAATTCTTCGTCCTCTTTAACACTGTCTTGTGGGGCACACAGACACCAGGTGACAATACAGGAACAGCTGCACAGCTCCAGGCCATTAATATTGCAGCTGCATCCAAACTGGGTCCCATTTTCAAGGGAATTACTCAGACGATAAAAAAGCTGAAGTTCATGGGTCCAAATTTTCAGCAACAGGAAAGGTCATCTCTAGGAAAGAAATTCTTTTCCTTTTCATACTAGAATAAATCATAAATACTGCATGGAACCAAGGAGTTCACGTGGGGTTACATCAGTCTAAGAAAGAGAAAAACCTTGGGGGTCCAACGGTTCTCAGACTCCTGAATCTCAGATGGTCAGAAAGATTTATGTGGTTTTTGAAGGGAAGCACTGCCCGTAGTTTTCAATTTGTAAAGTACAGAAAGAAACAATTACAAGAATATCCCGTTTCTTTTCACTCAAAATCTTTAAACAGGGGGCTAGGAGGAAGGGAGGAGTGTCTGCCAGACCATGCTACAGGATCCTGTGATCCTGCCTGTGCCCCAGTCCTTTCCAGTTAAAGGGACAAATATCTTTACTTCTGGCAAGGAAAAGAGTTGGTCCAGAGGAACAGCCCTCCGGCCCGGAAGGCGCAGGCTGGTGCGGCCATAAGACACCCTACCCGGGAGAGGAGCCCCATCGCCGCGCAGCTGGGACTCACGACGCAGCAGATTCCTCCGTGGAGGATGCCGAGAAAGGCGGGGGAGCGCTGGGGGAGAAAGGGAAATGGAGCATAAAAAGACAACCGAGGGTTTCTCTGTTTGGTTTTTGAAAAGTCTAACAGTAAATTAAAACATAAATGGGAACCGCTTAAGCGAGAGGAAAGTATACCTCCTCCCCAGCCCCCGCGAAGGTTGCTTTGACACGGCCGTGAATGAAAACGTCAAACCTTTGACATTGATTTGTTGGAGATGTCACCCCCTCTCCGATCCTCCCCTCGCCTGGCGCGCCGCCAGCTCGCAGCCGAACAGATCTGGGAGCCTGGTTCACAGCGGGGAGGTGCGTG